TGAATCAGACTATCATTTGCACATATGCCCTCCAACCTAGGGTCCTATTAAAGGAGCTAATAACTAAACATGAAGCCTCTGAACTGGCCTTCTATGCAATGGGATTTAGTAAAAGTCCGAAGAAAACCAAAATATATTAAGAAATGAAGTTTTAATTAGTAATGTGTAACCTCTTCAAGCAGAACAGTGTGATTATAATTTAACATCAAGCAGTTTAGGTTCTTAGTAATTTGTTGTTAATTTACCCCAAGTAGCTACTATTCAAAGTCACCATAGTAGAATTTGTTTTGTATATTTTAACTCCCACTGGTACCCTTTATTCTACCATAAGATTTATTACATTTATTCAAAAAAACAACTATCTCTTCCTTCCTTTTAAGATGCAGCAAATTTAGTTTCTGTCTTTCTCTGTGGAATCAGAGAGTTCATTAAGATGGCTAGAAAGAAGGAAAGGTTTCAGGCGGATAATTTCTAGCCTAACTCCATATTAACATACTAGTGACTAAATTTAAAAAATATGAACTCTGAAATAATTTTAAAACCTTAAGAACTTTAATGAAGTTAGCTTAATTCAAATTAATATCCATCAAAGAGATTAGGCTTTGAGACCAGAAAGGGTACTTGTGGCTAAGTGTATAGCCAGCTATATACTCTGTACTAGTATACAACCCTTTTGTAACCATTCTAACATTAAAGCTCAAGCTCTTGGATGGCTGACAGCTAGGAATTTACTAACTTGGCTGCAATGGGATCTTGGACAATGCACTTATGTGACCTTCTCCCCATTGTTGGGCTGGGTTTCTGGAAACATCAATTTCAGTAGAGCAGTTGTTCAAAACAGCTGTCATGAAAAGTCAAAAAGAGGACTTTTTGTTAATGAAGCAAATGTTAATACCTCACTTGAAGATCTAAATTCTAGCTCATATGTTTACCCCCCAAACTTATGCTTCAGCAGTCAAAAGACTACTATTATGATCAAACAACTGCAATTACTAATAGTTGCCTTAATAGTTTAAGGCAATTGTTAAATGAATTATGCATGTACTCTTAAACCATTTTCATGGTTCTAACCAGCTCTTGAACTATACTTGCTTTGCATTTCTATGAACAGACTATATGGTCCTTATGGCATAAAACTTAAATTGCAATGGTATCCTCTAAGCCAGTGGTTTTTAAAGTGTGGTTTGGGAATTCCCAGGGGTTCTCAAGATATATTCTGGAGATCTGCAAAGTCAAAACTATTTTTATAATACTAAATGGTTATTTGCCTTTTAACATAAATTTTACATACTATTTTTAATTTCTAATACGATAAGTATCAATTCCACTTATACAAATAAAAGCCTTTTAGGGTCCTCAATAATTTTTTAAGAGTATAAAGGAGTGCTGGGACCAAAAAGTTTGAGAAACACTACTCTTAACAGAATAGTACAAGACTCTGCCTATATGGAACTCCCAATACATGCTTACCACCTCAAACGCTCTTTAGATGTACATCCATATATTATTTAAGACAGTCTCTATACTTGGAATCAGTCAATAAACTTAGTACCATTACATTATAGCATACATGACCACTAACTATCATAAAAGACCCAGGCTCATTTAAAAATAGCATTGTGATTAAAGAGCTATTGCATAGAATGTGTTGGAGTACTACTTTAAAATGTAGAAAGATACACCTCTACTCTAAAGTGAAAAAATATGCCTAATCCAAACTAAAAAAGGTTTTCAATCACTTTATTACTTTTTTGGGGGTAAAATAGTTTTACTTCAATCATAAATTCAGAGGAAAAATATATAAAAATGAAAGATGACCACAATTTGTATACTCCTTTAAATACAATTAGAAAGCAAGATGTGACATGTTTTTTAAAATTATCTCAGGAAAACATATCTGATTCTTTTTATAAATAAAGTACAATGTTTTGGATATAATAATCACAAATTATAAAGGCTTGCCAAGCAGGTCTATAGAAACATAAGGAAAGTATATCTGTCCAAGTTTGCTTTCTTTTCTGGACAATGTGTTTTATGTCATATCACAAGCCATACACAATTCATCTATAAACAGCGATCAAGATAATATGTTACATTTGAGGGAAGATTATTATCCAGGGCCTTTAAGTTCTAAATTAAAGTATTAGAAGGACAAAATATTGTTAAGTAAACACTTTGCTTCTATGAATCAATGCACCCACCTGGATGGCATTTTCTAACCATTTAGACTGCTAAAAGTAAAGTTATGAAAAATAATAACAACTTCAAGGAACTGAAACACTAATGTCATAGCACCTTCATCAATGGACAAACTCCAGCTTTCAGTATTAATGTAAACAGTTGAGACACTGTTTACAAGGGATAATAATTTAGTATTGCTAGAAATGCATTATTTAGGTAGAGGGCTAAGACTTAGATATTCTTTGGAAAAATCTTTGGATATACCTTTGTTGTCTTACTGAATTGTTTAGGCTGAAGTGCAAGACAATGGAAAAGATTTTTATTATATTCTAGATAGAACTGGTATCTGTGTGTAATCATCAAGCTTACCAGGATGTATCTGTCAAACACCTCACTAAATCTTTAGATACTAGAAGCAGGTAAGGGCTATCACACAGCAAAAGAACTAAACATGAAGTAGTTCCCAAAATTACACAGCCAAAATCTGTCAATTAATTTTGTTTTCTATATAGTATAATATCTATGGTTCAATGACAAAGCAAAAATAAAATCAATAATGTCAGCATGTTTTTCAGTGATGAGATGAATAATAATGCCTATGTGGCAGATTTTCAATCAAATCTGAAGGTACATGTAGATCTGTATGTAGTTCTGGTCAATCTTTTTTTTTTTTGAGACAGGGTCTTGCACTGTCACCCAGGCTGGAGTGCAGTGACACAATGACAGCTCACTGCAGCCTCAAACTCCTGGGCTCAAGCGATCCTTCTGACTCAGTCTCCTGAGTAGCTGGGACCAAAGGCACACACCATCATGCCTGTTTTTTTGTTTGTTTGTTTGTTTGTTTTTGAGACAGGGTCACTATGTTGTCCAGGCTGGTCCTACAACCCTGGCCTCAACTGATCTTCCTGCCCTGGCCTCTCAAGGTGCTGGGAATACAGGTGAGCCACTGTGCTCAGCATCAATCTTCTTTATTTTGGCTGTGCATTCTGGTCTTGGCATAAATCAATTATTTGGTCTTTTGATTAAATTTATCCAGTTTTTGAATATAATCAATCTAAACTAGTGCTTGACATAATTCCATTTTCTGGACTATAAATACACAGTTGCATATATCAAACAACTGATATATGGCAAACTGAAGAAATGGCAAGCAGGATTGACAAAAGGATTGAGAACTAAAAGTATGACTGAGGTTATCAACTATTGTTGATAGGGGGTATGGTAATTGTTACAATCAATCTTTTTGTGCTCCTATTTGCTTAGCCATCATTGAAAAACTGTGAGCATAATGATGTCTGGAAGGGACAGCAGACATGTATAAATTCCTTCCTGTGGGAATTATGCATGTGGTACTATATTGCTTAGGGTAGAGGATAAGACAAGGGGGGAGGAGGACAGCAAAGGAAAGAAAGAATCTTTAAAACAAAAAAAGTATTTGTTGAGTAGAAATATGGATTGTTAGATATTAGAGAAAGCAGACTATCTGTTAAAGCTATCAGAGATAGTTTGGTTCATTTTGAGCAAACAAGAGGCACAGAAATACCAGTAACAAGCCCTTCAAGTAGAACATCTTTATAACAAAATTAAAGTCTTTGAAAAGATCAGCTGCCAGCTCGTAGAAGCATGTAGCATGCCACAAACCGGTGCCTGAGTGGGAAAAGGATAAATTGTAAGGATCTAGCCAGGACAGGACCATAGGCATTTTCTAAAACTCTAAGAAAATAAAAGTACTGCATGTTACTAGAAATGGCCACTAGAATGGAAATGAGAGGAAATTACCTAGTGAAATACAGTTTGAGTATCTCTCATCATAATGCTTAGGACCAGAAGTGTTTTGAATTTCAGATTGTTTTGGATTTGGGAATATTTCATATAAATAATGAGATATCTTGGGGATGGAACTCAAGTCGAAACATGAAATTCATTTCTGTTTCATAGCCTGCATGTAATTTTATATAATACCTTTAATACTTTTGTGAATGAAACAAAGTTTTGATTGTGTTTTGACTGTCAGGTGTGACCCCTCACTTATGGTATCATGGTGGTACTCAAAAACTTTTGGATTTTGGAGCATTTCAGATTTCCCTATTAGGGATGCTCAACCTGTACATTACTATCAGGACAGTTTGCCTACAATATGGCTAGGGCTGAAGTTAGTTGCCAGTCACTTCTGAAATCCAGGATTTTTTTGTTTGAGACGGTCTCATTCTCTTGCCCAGGCTAGAGTGCCATGGCATCAGCCTAGCTCACAGCAACCTCAAACTCCTGGGTTCAAGCGATCTTTCTGCCTCAGCCTCTGAGCCGAGTAGCTGGGACTACAGGCATGTGTCACCATGCCCGGCTAATTTTTTCTCTATATATTTTTAGCTGTCCAGCTAATTTCTGTTTTTAGTAGAGATGAGGTCTGGTTCTTGCTTAGGCTGGTCTCGAACTCTTGACCTTGAGTGATCCGCCTGTCTCGGCCTCCCAGAGTGCTAGGATTACAGGTGTGAGCCACCATGCCCAGCCCTGAAATCCAGGATCTTAAAAAGGTTATTTCTGCCATCACCAACAGCCCTTTACATTTCTTTCAGAATTTCAGGGAATCAATGCTTCCACAACTGTTGTTAATTAGAATGCCTTTCTATGAGGAGTATGGTGTATTTGTGTTTATTTTTCTCCTCTAGACTTAGCAGAAACGAATGTGTTCCTTGCTAAAATGGATCGTCTCACTTCTTAAGGGAGGCTTAAGTTTGGAAATAGGAAACAAAGGAAGTTTCTGGACTTTTCCCATTTCCATCTGTTCCTAGGCATCCCTAAAGCCCTCCTGTTATTCTAACCTCGTAAATCCTGTTGTGTGCGAGCACCGCCCATAGTTTGTCTCGGCATTCGAAGAGAAGTTCTCAAAGGTGTATGTCTCTGCTCATCAAGGTAAGCAAGGTCCTCCAAGTGGGCAGAGCTGGTAGCTGACAAGAAAGAAAAGTTTAGTTAGAATATCTTAGTTTAGAAAACTTGAGAGTCTGTATCTCTCAAACTTTGGAAAGTTACTCAAGCACAAAATGCATATGTATAATATATAATGTATGTAATATATTTTATGTCTTTAAAAAACCAAATAGATGGCTTTTTAAAAAATACTGAGCCTTCAATTTACTTGCTACTTTAAGATAGGACATTATAAATTTGTGTTTGCTAAAAGGTTTTATAACCTTAAACAGAGAAACACAATATTTCCTATTCAAACAGAGAAACAAGCAAACTTAACAAACATAAAACCTCACTTCATAAAAGTGATAATGTTAAAGATTGAGATTTAAAATGAAAAACAAATAAACTGCCAGTCCAACAGCTTAAAATGCCATTTTGCTTCTGAATGCCTGAATCAAGAAAGCTGCAATGACAGCAACAATGACAAAAGAGAAGTTTCTTTTTTTTTTTTTTTTAAAGAGACAAGGTCTTGCTCTGTTGCCCAGGCCAGAGTGGTGTGATCATAGCTCATTGCAGCCTCAAACTTCTGGGCTCAAGCAATTCTCCCACCTCAGCCTCCTAAGTAGCTACAGGCAAGTGCCACCATGCCTGGCTAATTAAAAAAAATTATTTTTAGAGATGGGATCTTGCTATATTATTCAGACTAGTCTCTTACCCCTAGCCTCAAGTAATCCTCCTGCCTCATCCTCCCAAATTGCTGGGATTACAGGTGTGAGCCACCATGCCCAGCCTGTAAGATTATCTTTTTATGGCTGCTGGGCCTCAAATGATTTGCTACCAAGTACCTGGGGTATATTTCTATATGTGAGAAATTATATTATGTATTGAGATTACATAGTTGTCTGTCTCAAAGACTTTATAATCCAATTTGACCATCTTGGATATGTGCTATTTTGTCTAACAGTTGATTATAAATGAATTTTTTAATAGAAACTAACAAAAAAGGAAGAGGAGACAGCTTAGAATTCTCTCAGCATAAAGAAACAAGCATGTTGACAGTAAGTAAACTTATGTCTCCAACCTTACATATAAGTTGATTATGGTGATTGACCTTGAGTAGTGATATTAATTTGTTAAGTTGTTCATTTATTCATTCAACAAATATAACAAAATTGTCAATAAAAATATCAGCACTGTATCATAACAATAATTTTATCATGGTTTCTAATCAGTCTACAGAGAAGAAGATGCGTGAGCAAACATTTTACTAAAGAATGTAGCAGACAGCATTCAAGAGAATATTTTATTAAAATTACAGGAATGAAATTAGGCCTTAAAAGTTATTCCAGGCCGGGCGCAGTGGGTCACACCTGTAATCCTAGCACTCTGGGAGGCCAAGGCGGGCGGATTGCTCAAGGTCAGGAGTTCAAAACCAGCCTGAGCAAGAGTGAGACCCCGTCTCTACTATAAATAGAAAGAAATTAATTGACCAACTAACATATATATAGAAAAAATTAGCCGGGCATGGTGGCGCATGCCTGTAGTCCCAGCTACTTGGGAGGCTGAGGCAGAAGGATTGCTTGAGCCCAGGAGTTTGAGGTTGCTGTGAGCTAGGCTAACACCATGGCACTCACTCTAGCCTGGGCAACAAAGCAAGACTCTGTCTCAAAAAAA